CTCTTTCCTGCCTATGCAGGGGGTCAGACTCGATGATCTATTGAGGTCCCTTCTGACCCTAGCATCTATGAATCTATGACTCTGAGAAAGGAAGAGACCACTAACTAACGTGCATGCTCTTATCTGCTAGGGGATTGCTGGAGGGCTTTGCTTTCCTGAAGTATTGGAGGGTTACTAGACTTCACTCTAAGATACACGGGGAATCTAATGCCAGTACAAAACTGAATGAATCTTGTGCTGTGCTGCTGTATGAAACCCCCTTGACCCCTGGACAGCGATCCAAATTGCTTTATAGCAACCCTTCTCACTGATTAAGCAGTAACACTGACAGGCTCCAAAGACAGCCTTGGCCACTCTTTGTTGATGGACATGATAGCTGTTATTACCTATTACCATTTCTTACTGGTTTTCATTAAGTGCCGACAATGCGTTATAGCTTGAGGGCTCACAGAGTAGAGAAAAACTCCATGTCCCTGACAGAAGAAGGACCTCCTGGGATCCAACCCCTGAAGGCAAGAAATGCTTGTTGTTCCCTAGCCTTGTTGGACGGTCGTTATTATAGATAATTAGAAAGTCATTCAAAACAGATGCCGGCTTTGGAGCTACCCAAAAATCACTCCTTATCTGTCAGCATCGTATTTCGTTTGCAACATAAACGGAAAATGTTATATCCTCTTCTTTTTACAATCATCTAGACCACAGGCCTTGTGGCACTTGCATGGCTCAAACTGGCATCGCACACTTTGGGGAGAAAGACTCCAGTTGCTTATAACCTCACAGCATACAGATCTTGGGTAACGCTACCGCTTGAACTCCCTGCGTCACGCGCACACGTCTACACCCAATCCAGGTCACTCAGGGTATACTTTACTGAATCATCTGGCCTTGAGCTCCTCTTGGTTTGACTGTGGAGGGGGGGGGATGTAAATGAACAGCTGAAGGAGGACTGTTTCACAGACAGTCTCCATTACTCAGCAAACTGTCACCGGGAGGCAGGCAATGTCCTCAACACCACCGCCCGGAAAGCTTCACCCACAGCCTCCTCCTGACCACGCAACGCGGGGACAGATACTTCCCCATGTTCTTCGGTGGAAGCCGTGCAACACCCTTAGGGGCAGGCTCATGGCTTGCACGTGGCAGAGGAGTTTTGTAGGGCATGTTCGGCCTCCCTGTTTCCCGTTTGTTGAGCAGCATCACACGCGCGTCTCCTGGAGCTGGATTCATTTTCCCTAGTTTGAACTCCTCCTGCCGCTTGGTTGTATTTACTACTCTGGCAGCGTTATTTACTGCACACGAGTAAACAAAGTGTGATCGCTCGTAGATACGCCGTTAGTTACCCGCACCAGTGCTTGTGAGCGCTGTGTTCAGCTCCGACGCTAGGCAAGCGGGGAAGCCTTTGAAACCGGTCCCACATTTACAAATGTCCCAAACACACTCTCAGCCGTACCTCATGACCAGCTTACAGGACGACCAGATGTACTCTTGGACTAATGAGCGTTTAAAAGGTATATCCAGGATCCCCCCAGTGAAGTACTCCACCCCACTGGGATCAATGGGGAAAATCGGACACGGGTTAACACGCGGCACTTGGGGAAAAGCACCTGTCCTAGACGGTCGCTTGGTGCAGAGGGCTGGAAACGTGCCCGTGTACCAGACTCGGAAGCTGCTGCCAGGCAACGAGGCCACGCCAGCGCCGCGGCGGGACGAGGCGGACAAGAAGCCAGATCCGGGGGCATTGCAGGGACCCGGAGCAGGGATCGCGGCCACCTACGCGCACCTGGCTGCAGGGGGGTGTTATTCCCGTTTCACCTCCGGTGGCGGGACCGCTACACACGACACGCACCCACACGCTACACTGCAAACACAGTGTACGCCATCCATGCATGCAGTGCACACCACACGTGTTACATGTCATGCGTGCTATGCACTACACACGCACCAGACACACATGCAGTACATGTCACGCCACACGCACTGGACACACCCCACAAACACACTATGCACCACACACACACACACACACACACACAGAGTACATGCCACACACCTCACAAACACACTGCACACCATACACACACTAGACACCCCTCTACAAACACACTATGTGCCACACACGCAGAGTACATGCCACACCCCCCCCGCAACCACACCACACACCATACATGCATGTATTATGCGCCACGTGCACAAGACACCCCACAAACGCACTGTGCCATACACACACGTAATACACCATATGCACGCACAGTACCTGCCGCATGCACTACAGACGGACACGCACCCTGCAAACACACTACCCACCATACACGCACATGCCGCACACCCCATGCACTACAGGTGCACGCATACTACCTGCCACACACACTATAGAAACACCCCCCTTAAACACACGCCCCACAAACACACTATGCACCATACGTACACGCACTGCACACCACACACGCACCGCAGACACCCCCCTACACACCACACCCGCACATGCCACGGGCACTACAGAGGCACACGTGCCCCGCAGACACACTATGCACCACGTACACACAGCACCCCCACCCCCGCAAACATACACAATATGCCACACTACAGAAACACCCCCCTTAAACATAGGACACACCACACCCGCACGACAGCTGCACACGCACCCTGCAAACACACTGCACAGTACACACCGTGCGCCACGTGCACTATAGCCGCGCACCCCGCACACACACTGCACACCGCGCACACACACAGGACGTGCGACACACACCGCTGAAACACACTGCGCACCGCACACGCAGAGTACATGCGACGCACACCACAGCAGCACACACTACAGACACCCCCCCCACACATACACTA